CTTTCTTTCTTTCTTTCTTTCTTTCTTTCTTTCTTTCTTTCTTTCTCCGAATCTCAGTAGCTCTGCTCCTGCCTTGCTTGGCTGTTGCTTGGCTGTTTCAAACCAAGCTTTGGTTTGTTGTTCTCAATTGCCTCGTCCCCTGAAGACTGCCGTCATTTCTCTCTTCCCCCCAAGGAAGGGGAGAGCAGGATGGGATTAGTGCCAGGAGATTGCCTGGCGTTGTGGGCGGGCTTTAGAATTAGTACAAAGGCACCGCGCACCTGGACAGAAGCAAAGTGAGCCCCTGTAGCTGTGGTTCAGTTGCAACAGGTAAGACTTTGGGATAAACCAGGGTGTAAGACAGGGAATTGGGAAGTCTTTGGAAGTCCTATGGAAGGAAGGGGGTCGCTGGGAGTTTTCAATTGCTTTGCTCGTTGCTAGCAGATTAAGGGCAGATTAACTCCCTGTCCTTTAACGCCCTATAAAAATACTAAAAATATTCAGTACCGTTCATGCAAACTGTTTGCTTCTCTCTCTTTTTGAACTGCTTTGCAAAAAAAACCCAAACCTGCCAGTTCCAAGCCAGGCTGGATAGTAGAACAGGGTAGATAGCCCTCAAAAAAGAATTAAGAGTTTGTAGAGAAAGGCAATTTTCACTTCTTTATTTAAAAAGTGAGGCTACTAATCTTGAGTTTTTCACTTGGTTTGCGTTCTGAATGAATGTGGCGGATTGAGGATAATATTATACGAAGAACTTGTCTCCCCATGAATTAGGGAAAAGGAGTGTTTGGGACCTTAGAGATGCCGTTGGGACTACAATTCCCATCGCCCCTCATGCCATGAGGGTCATGACAGCTTGAGCGCAATGTCCTCTCGGGGGGGCGGGGGGGGAAATTGGGAACAGATTTTTATTTGGAATTGCTTCGAATTGATTTATTGCAAAAATGTACCGTCTGTTACGGGGAGTGTGATTATTTATTTAGCGCTTGGCGTCTCATACATGGACTAGCCATGATATAGTAACATTTCAACTGGGTTAGCAGGACCCACTAAAATACAAGCGTTAAAAAGATCTGGGTTCAAAGATCAACATCTAGGTTATCTAGCCATTGAAAGCGCAGCATCGTTTAGACAGGTAGTCCTCAATTTACGGCCGCAGTTGGGCCCAAAATTTCCCTCGCTAAGCGAAACATACGTTAAGTGAATTTGAGCCCATTTTTCAACCCATATTGTCACCGTTGTGAAGTGAGCCTGGGGTCGCAAGTGTGAAAAACAGCCGTAAGTCACTTTTTTCAGTGCTGCTGCAACTTTGAACAGTCACTAAATGAATTGTCATAAGTCCAGGACCACCAGTATTTTAAAAAAAAACCAGATACTGGACCCATTTATGCCTTCAGCTAACAGTCAGCCAACAGTCGTAAGTGTGAAAAAAAAATTTTTTTCAGTGCCGTTATAATTTCAATCTGTCATTAAACGAACTGTTACAAATCGTGTACTAGCCTGTATTTGATTTATTTTATTTTATATTATTTTCTTTTATTCTTTTATTCTTCTATTTTTATTCTTTTCTTTTTTCTTTTCTTTTTATTCTTTTCTTTTAATTTATTCATTATTTTTTATTCTTTTATTTTCTCTTATTCTTTTCTTTTATTCTTTTCCTTATTTTATTTTGTTATTCTTTGGGGGAAAAAAAACACCTTTGAAAAACCTTTCAGACTCCCGGTTGACGAATGATAGATGATAGATAGATGAGAGAGAGAATGATAGATGATAGATGATAAATAAAGGTATGTATGTATGTATGTATGGATAGATGATAGATAGAAAGATAGATAGATAGATAGATAGATAGATAGATAGATAGATAGATAGA